TATATATTTTAAAGAAAACATATTTACTTTTATATATATATATATATATATATATATATATTAATAGTGGGATTTGCACATTTTCTGATTTGGGCCTATGTAAAGCACATCTTTCAATAGCAAATCTATGGGACAGATACCTTTTTCCTTTTTGATAAGGACTAATCACTCAACATTCTTCTGCAAATTGTTTGAATACATGTAAGTTAGAGTAGTTATTTATCAAGAAAAGTCACATAGCCTTTGTCCTCCTAGGTTACCTGGATTACAAAGTCTCAGTATTTTGCAATACCTTCAAAAGTCAGTTTTAGTTACAATGCCTTATAACTTTAAAACCATAATGCTTCACATTGAAATGGAACAGCGCAGCATGACAATAAATCAAAAGGTCTCAAGTATTAGTAGTAAGAAAATGTCCAAAGCAGAAGCAGCAGCAGGTTGACTTGGTCACCTTAATGGAGGAGGTGTAGGGCACACGGATCTCCTGAGTATCCTCTTTGAAGAGGTTGGGGGTATTGGCCTGAACCTGCCAGGGTGTGGGGGCGGGCTGAGCGTAGAAGTCAGCCATTTCTCCTGTGGAGAACAACAAAAAAATCAACTGCTGAAAACTTGTACTTAATTAAACGTTAAAAAATTAGTTTATCATTGCATGAAGTTAGTATTTTAACTTCATAATTTTACCCATAAAAATCAGTTTAGTTTTCCTTCCAGCTTTCTTTCAGGGTTTTACTACACAACAAAAGAACAAAGAAAGACAAACATTTCCCCAATTTTTTTTTAGAAAAAAATAAATGTTTCTATGCAGTGTTTTGGTTTCTTTTTTTCCCCTCCATTTGCAGGGTGTGACAGTCAGGTCTAACGCCCAGCTGTGCCTCATCAGATGATGATTATCCAGAGTTTAAAGGAGGAACGATTTCTGGAGGCAGATACCCGAAGTAAGTTCCTACCCACCCAGATTCCAAATATTCTCTCTCCGCTCCGCCCCGCTCACGTACGTCATGCGGAGTAATTGACTGTCATTTTAATCAACGAGAGCTATTCCACATCCAACGCTACTCCTCCGCACATCACCATCCATGCAGTACTCGAGTTGAGGCGGCATGAGGGGGGATGGCATCCCCCTTCTTAAAAAAATCTAAAAAAAAAATCAAACCCCTTCTTTAATGACTATGCCCCCATATCATCCCCTGTGACATTTTATTACTGAATGTGTAGAATTTCTACTATATATTAACAGTAAGGCAATAACATTGCCCTTTCAACATTTGGCGGGCTATGAGCCTACAGATAGCCTGAGCAAAATAAATGAACTCAAAAAGTGTCCTTCCATGACTATGAAGCATGACTAATTCCAAAATGAGTCCCTAACTATGTAGGGGCAGTGATAGCCATGCCAGCCAGGGACTGACTGTAGTTCCACTGTAAGGTGCGTTGGTCAAGGTCAATGACTGGCGTACCTGACATGGAACAACCATACCATGTATATTGCTTTAGGTTAATAGACTATATTAATTAGTTTATATATGCTTCTGAAAAAAATTTAATAAAACAAGTCCACCATCTCCCTGCGTCCACATACGTCTTCTCTGTCCTTCACTGTCAAAATACAGAGCTGAGCTATTTTTTGCTCCGCTCTGGTCCGGCCAGGTCAAGATCTGCAATTGCAATCGCACCAAACAGGAAAAAAGAATGTCGAGAAGATTCGGTTTGTCAGATTAAAATATGGTAAGGACAAATCGGTAACTACAAATTAGAGCATAATTCTTATATATTCCCAAAACTAAGACTGTTTTTTTTTATTATTGGATGCAAACTCTTGGTACTTCAACATACCAGGAAGCAGATTTCTCATCTCAATCAAAATATTTATTTTATACCGAGAGGCTTAGAAGTTTCATTGAGGAGAACAAATATAGTTCATACAAACAATGTATGATCCTAGTTATCCCTGTTACAAAAATCCACAAAAAATAGAAAATATTTGGGCAGAAACTGCACATATACTGGATGCTGGCGGGAATTTTTCTTATTAAATCATATAAAATGAACTGTTAATTTCCGCATTTTTTGCTTCTATTTAAATTTAAAAAGAATATTATGCAATTTCCCCTTAAGCTCCGAGGAAATCGGAGCGGAGCCAGACGGGAGGAACAGCAGAGGCTCTAGGCTTTGCTTTGAACAGGCGGTCTGGAACGGGGCGGTGACGGAGGATGTGGGATTTCGGAGTAAAAGTTACTTGTGAAGACATGTCCTGGGTTGTGAGTAGCAAGGAAACAGGAGGGGATTCTTGTGGGATGGAAGAAGGAAATAGTGAAAATGAAGAAGATTGGAAGAGAGTAGAATAAAAAAAATGAGAAAAAGCAGAAAAAGCAGAGATCAATTGAAGGGGAGTCTAGTTCAGAACAAGTGATGAGAAATCTGGACATTCCACAGGAAAACAAAATTATTACAAAGATATACTCAAACTAGCTAATCAGGGAGACTCTTTTACAGATTGGAATCCGGCGCAGTTAAAAAAATCTATTAAACAAACTTGTAGGAGACGTCCGAAGGGCCAAAATACTCTATAGTGGAAACTTGTAAATAAACTGCAGAGACAGTGCTCGACAAGGCAAAGCCATTCTGATCAACAAGATTGAGGAGAAAAGAGTTGAGTGCAGCTTGGTGGAGAACAAAAGGATTAGCAAGGGAGTCATTGGAGGAGTGCCTCTAAAAATAAGTGACAAAGACATTCTTGAAAATATAAGTGATGCAAAAGTAGAAGAGGTGAAATGGTTAAAAACAGCAAGAAATGGAGAAAGAAGTGACAGCCTATCAGCGTTGATCAAATTCTAAGAAGAGAATTTACCCAGTAGGGTTTTCATCTGATATGAGCTACAATGGCAAAATGTCAAAATATTTAAATGCTAAAAATTTGTTCATATAGCAGCAGTATGTAAGGGCAAACAACGGTGTGGAAGGGGTGCCGGAGAGCACGAATATGGAAAGTGTGGTAAAGAAGTTCAAATTAAATGCTGTAACTTTGGCGGAAGACAGACTGCTGCTTATCACGGTTGTGAAGTGAGCAAAAGATCTGAAGATATTTGAAAGTTGAAAATGGAGCTCGGAATAACTTATGCTGAAGCTGCAAAAAGAATCCCATCACAGTCAGAAAGACCCAAGCCAACAGTTAAGCAAATGATAAGTTCAAAACCTCTGGAAGAATGCCCCAACACTGCAAAAGATTCATTGATTGTTAAAAAGAAGGATTTTGTACTTTTCATGGTGGAAGTGATCAATTGCACTGCTCAGATGACAAAGAAAAACGAAAAAATCTACTGTAAGTAACAGTGAAAGCTGCAGAAAAGTACCTTGAAGTGAGAGATTTAATCTGAGAAACAGTTGAAAGTATGATGAGAAAACGAATGGAACCATCAGAAATTGGCAGAGTGACAAATTAGACAAATAAGAAATTACAAGGATGATTTTGATTATGTGTTTCATTATGTTGGGTTAAAACATACAGTTTGGAAAACTATAAAAAAAAAAGTTAAAGTTTTTTTTTTCTCGGGGGAGTCTCATTTCCTGTTTTCTCATTTAACTCCTTATCATTTGGTGGTGGTAATGCACTTTAAATAGTTTGCCAACTGCCATAAAACACTAGGAGGCGGATGCCTGATGGCTAAATCACGATCCTGTGGTAAACAGGTCCCACAGTTGCCTGTTGGGCTTAGATTGTGTTAAAAGTCGCCTAATACTAACATTTTGACTATGTCCTCCCCTGCAGTTCTTCCTCGTTGATTCTTCTCTGGTTCCTTGGCCTAGTCCCTACTGGAGTCTTGGTGCTGGAAGTCCTGCTGGCTGCTCTGTCTCTGCTCCTCCCTCTGCACTCAGAAAACGCTAACCTGAAGGCTCCTCATATCTGCCACCTGCCGGTCCACCCTCCACAGCTGGAACATTATGCTTCCTCATCTAAACCATCACATCAATTGATCTGTTACCTGAACCCCTAAAGCACTAACACTTCCATTCTTCTAGTGTGAAACTGGACTCCCTACCCTGATCACCTGTCTCCTGTCCCTTATTTTCAATAAACTATCTGTAATCGCTACCTGCATTTAATCTCAGCACTAATTATGACAAACATAAAACATAGAAAATACAGAAAGTGACTTTTGGGGAGTTTGATGTTAAGATTAATTAAATTAAATGAAGGTTATCCTACAAGCCATCAACCATAAGGTCCTTTGACACTGTTTTCTTAATTCACATTTCACAGAGTTCTGTCATTTAGAGACTTTATGCATTTGGTTAAAAACAAACAATTGCACAAGGCTCATAACAAACATCTTCCATCACAAATTTTCAATTATAATATATAAGGCATCCGTCTTGAATGTTTTTATTCAGATAACCTTACCTTCATAAGGTTTCTCAGCCATTTCAGTTTTTCTGGACTCTGTGAACGTCTCCAGACGCAACTACAGGAGAGAAAACATTGCTTAAAACAGTATACACATAAAAAGACAAATACTATATATTTCTGGTTGCAAGTTTAAAAAAAAAAAAAAATTTTAACGTCTGACATTTACTGTCTGTAAAGGGAAAAAGGTTATGGTGCATACTATCAAAAATTATTTAACTAAAAAAGCAATAATTTTTTTGCTGCTTTGGTTTATTTACTTAATAATATGTTGTAGTGTGTTGGGGCAGCTGGAGTTTGTTTTCCCAGCATGCACTGGGCAGCATGTTGGATATTAGAAGCTGGTAATAAAGTTACAATTATATTTGCTGCTGTTCCTATATCTGTTATATGCTGCCATCTAAGTTAATTTTATAATCTGAAGTAGTGGTTTCCACAGCATGAGTCTTGGAGTTAGCACCGTGTTAGCACCGTTAAATGAGCTCTCATCAGCAGGTGTACAGTTGTTTTAAATAAAAAGTGTATGTTGCGGCGTACTGGACACGGAAGCAGCCATTAAACTCATCTTTTATACTGGTTATTGCCATAGCAATCTACTTGCCTGTTACAATATCAAAAAAAAGTGTGATTCGGAAACAGTTATTTAGGTGGGAAGGGATCTGGTGTTAATAAATAGTATTAACTAATAATATTAGAGAACAAAAGACTAAACTTTGGGAGGAGCTATAATTTCTGCAGGAAAATACTTTATTGTTATTAAAATTAAATCTATAAACCTTGATTATACCTTTAGCAGATCCTCAGCCTAAAACAAAATGTGCATGAGTACCGAGTCTAGAAAAAAAAGGCAAAGTAAGCAATATAATACCACAGATGTGAAACAGGGAAAAAGGGTTTCTGTACGTGCTGTTAGTCTATCTACACTAACTGAAATTGGGATGTGTGCTAGTGGAGATTTTGTGGTTGTTTTTATAAATATGTTTAGAGGATATACAGCAATTCCTGACATTCACTAAACTTTTATCACATTAGTTTCATACAGTAGGATGATTCTGGGAATTTTTCATCTCGGTGAGGACGTGTGATTAACTATGTTGCGAGAAGTGAAAATGTCTTCTTATAGCTGGTTCATACAACAAAAGCATCACACGAATAATGATGACATATAAGTAAATTTTGGATGCTGATATAATTTACATGAGATTAAATACTTTCTCCTCCCACTGTGCATATATAGTGTGTTTATTATATTTGTCTAGATTCTATTTATATATTCTTTTGCAACCATTTTTAAATTATTTTAAAATGTTAATTATTCACGGCATTTAGCAATCTGTAAATATTTTTGGCATTCCTCTTTGATTTATTATTTGTATAATTTTTCCATTGTTTGATACTTATCTAATATTTTACATATTAATTATTTCTCCTTAATAAAATAATGCTACTTGAGGCACTTTGACTGATTTTAGATGAAACTATTTCATTTAAATGATAAAGTCAATCAAAACCAGTAATTATAGGATTATTATTTATTAATTAGTATCATTATTAGGTCCCCTCACCAATCATATTACATGTTTTACTTTAGGAGCTCTCTTAAATCCTAAGGTGCTTTGGAATAACTTCTATCTTACAGAGGTGAAATTCTAAATGCTAAGACTTTTCCTGAAATTACGTCACTAAAGGATATTTTTAAGGCCCTGGACTATTTCATTGATAAAGAATTTATGTTTTTGTTTGGGGATATTATTCTATGAAGAGCATTCTGTGTATAATAATACAAGTTTGACTGTGGGAATTTGGGCAACAACCTTTTGTAAGTCAAAAGAGGGCTCACCAAAAGTAATTTTCATGGAACTGGAGTTCTGTATGGGGCAGAGTTTGCTTAGCCTGGGTGCCATTTCGAACTTAGTCCCACCCACGTGTTCTTGTAGTAGGGCTGCCTGCAACTAATGATTATTTTGCAATTTGATTAATCTGTTGATTATTTTCTTTGATTAATCGATTAATAATCGGATAAAAAAATGTCCTTAAAGAAGACTTTTTACGAAAATGTAACCAGCTGAAACTAAAACTTTTCTGGCTGAGGAGTTCTGGAAAGAGCAGATTGACAGACAAAAACATTGCTTTCTATCATAAATGCAAAATGTTCATATTTTTTTTTTTTACAATTTTGGTATAATTGCTGCTCAAGATGGGTTGCTCTGTCAGCTAAAGACATGTTTGAGAGTCTCTATACTCCAGTGGATGATTAATCGATGAATAAATTAGTTGACCATTATTTCAATCATCGATTAATCCCGATTAATTTTTTCATCACTAGTTGATAGCATCCACAATTAACCAAGACAGCTATCTAAAGCCAAGTGTTTTCCAATAAAAACCAAAGTGTAAACATGTTATAGATCATTTGAAATGCAGTCACCCTGTATGTGTTAAATGACTCCAGGCTGGTGATCACACCCTCCTCTGCGGGACCTGACCTGTAGCAGCACTGGGATTCCACATAGTCCTTGAATGCAGCACGAGCCTCCTCCTCTGACAGTTCAGGGATTCTAAAGGAAAGACAACAAAAATACACACACAAATAAAAAATATCTTGAAAATAAAAATATTTCCTGGATGCTGACCCAGACCACATATGATTTGCTGCCTGCCACAGCTCAGTAACATGATGCCTTACTTCCAGTCATCAGGAGTGGGGGCAGGCTGCGGTGGAGTTACTGGCTGTAAAGGTATAGGAGGAGGCAGGGCAGCACCTGCAATAGTAATAGGAAATTAGCTGTAAATGCTGCCCAGATACATAGTTAGGCTGGTTGGACTAGACTTACCTCCTGCAATTCCTTCATAGCCAGGTATGTTTGGGAACGGGTTTGCAGCAGGGGCATTAAGAGGCGGATATACAGCTGAAATAAACAACAGGGAAAGTTCAGCTATTAATGGCTTTATTTCTTTGAAACTTGTAAATTCAGTGCTGCATTCATTCAGCTGCACCTGGTAGTTTGTCGGAATTTAGAAAATACACTGGAACGGGTTAAGACTTGAAATGGGATCAAAATACCACTTTAGTGCATATTTCCCCCCGAGTGCAGAAAGAGCAGAAACACCAACCTGACTAAACTTTTTAAAGGTGCAGCTGCCCATCCTAAATGGCAGCTATTTTTCAGAACCATGTTTTTTATCATTTAAAATACATTTACTATTTAGAAGAAATTAATCTAATCATATACATTCACAACAAAATATCACAATCAGATATTTATGAACCCATCTCTAATGTTTAAATCTCATAATCGGTTATAACAGCTTTTTTTCTTTACTGTAAGTCTTCTGTTGTCCACGAAAAGTAACAAAGTGCCTCTATCAGAAAATAGAACATACATCAGTTAGCAGCATATAACGTAATATTAAAGTCACCATACAGCTTGAAAACACAATCAGGGTTTCTATGCAATTTTTAGAATTCTAATTTTTATGAACAATATGAGAAATGTACAACCATCCTCACTGGGCTGGTTGGATTTGATTGTTGGGTTGTTTATATCTAATATTTATTGGAATCAATGTGAAAAACACTTTCCTATGTTATACTTCTTTTAACTACGTTCTCTCTACTTAGGAAAATGTTTTTTTCATTACAGTAATTAGTAAATCAAACATGTTGACTACACAGGATTCTTTTTTTTCTGACATATTCAGTCATGTGATTGGGCTTTAGTAATCTCCCACATTATGAGAAAGCAATTCAAGTGAGGTATTAAGAGGGTAGAAAAGAGCTTCATCATACATTTGTTGTGACTTGCCCTCCACTGCCCCTGCAGCTATTGAAATATGTCAAATTTGCTAAGCCACACAACTCCAAGAAATTCTAGAGAAAATGGAGCAATATAAGTGGAAGTTTTTTGCCGGGGGCGACTGTGAGGAAAAACATTGTTCTTATAGGAAAACTTTGTTCCCATTGATTTGTGAGATTCACAGAGTTGTGCAGAAAACATTCCCAGTTTGTTTCAGTTTTAATCAATCAGCGCTCAAAGACATTCTAAGAGTTTAACAGCAAAATCTCTCTGTTTAAATGGTGCATGGAAACTTTCTACTTAGATCTTCTAATTGGAAACCACTCATGAACAAACAAACAAACCGAAATTGAAGCAAATAAAAATTTAAATTCATCCTTTTAACTTAGGCAATGCATTTTTCTCACATATTGTTTGTAAATACTGCATTTTTGCACAATATATATAATGCGTTTTTTTGCACCATTTTTTTCATGCACACTGTTAACATTTGACCACTGCCGCACTTTATGGAATGGAAATGCTTCTGAAAGCTGTACAAAACACTCCGTGTATACAAAATGACAATAATAGTTGTGTAAGTCTAAAAAAATTGACAAATATATAAAAATGAAAATATACTTGTAATTGGAATCAGCCCCAAACTATTTTACTTCTTTGTTGTCTTGTGACACTATTGATGTATTCTTGTTTCAAATCTGGTGTCATAACGGACTGGTTTCACTTCATGTTACTATTCAGTTTCAAAACCACAAATACTTTTATATATGCAAAAGTATGTGTGAGTATGTGAATAAAGTATGTGTATATTGTTGTGATCAAGTGCCACTGATGTCACCGGAACTAATCCCTTCTGATGACACAGCCCTCCGGAGTAGGTTAGTCTGAGAATCAACAGATCTGAGGGATCTGTTGGTTGAGGATGTGTTGGATCAGCTTGCTTTGCTGTATCAGAGAAAGTCACAATTAGAAACAGAACTGCATCCAAAGGCTGAAAATAGAGCTAGAAGGGTGGAAGAGTGTAGAAAGGAGGTCCCTTGTTTACAGGATGAAGGGTTAGAGGAAGTGAGTGAAGCCATTCCTGCGTTAGAGAATTTGGATGAGAAGGGCCGAAGGAGGTCTCATGTGACCACAGAGCTAAGAACTATGATGATGGAGCAGGATAGGTTTGGTAGTGCAGTGTGTAGTTCCACTAAGCAGAACAGCTTCAAACCACAGAGGATGACAGACCTGAGTGGTACGTATAGTTCAGGTTATAGAGCAGCCTAGGCTCCTGGTCTAACTCAGAACACTATCTGCCAAGAACACTATCACAGAATTGCTATCAGTGTATCAACCCTCCAGACCACTTATGCCTTCTGGCTCCAGCCTGCTCTGCATACCTAGAACCAGAACTAAACATGGAGAAGCAGGGTTTAGGTCCTATGCTCCACTTATCTGGAACAAACTTCCAGAAAACTGTAAAAGTGCGGAAAGCCTGAGTTCCTTTAAATCAAGACTAAAAACAAACTTTGTTTCTGCATTTTTTTCCCTACTTGCTTTGATTCTGTTTTATTTTCCTATATTTTAATCATGTAAGGCACTTTGCATTGTCTTTTTACTGAATTGTGCTATACAAATACTTTGCCTTGCCTTGCCTTGCCTACGAAACCGAGACTTGCGTCCCAGCCACCAATGGGACGCAAGTCCACCAGTGTACAATGAACGGTTTCCAGCGCCCTCTGGAAGGTCAGAGCAGAAATGTCCATCCTACCATGATAGCATTTGACTAAAGCTGTCAGATCATGATTCAGGACCGGTGCTAATCCCAGAAAAGGGACTAGGAAACCTGGCAACTTGAATCCTTCGCCCAAGACTTGGAGCGTTTTGATCCCAGTAATGCTGAAGCCACAATTGATGATTACCTCAGAGAGGTAGAGCTTTGTCTTTCAGGTATATCCAACCCCTCCGCTCAGGAGAAATTGAGTCTAATCTGGAGAACCTCTTTAAGGAGTGTTTACCTCTTTAAGGAGTGTTTACTTGTTCATGGAGAGCCTTCAGCCCTCCATAAGAGAGTGCTATTCTTCTCTTTGCTAGGCTTTGAGAGAAATATTCAGTGCATGCTTATCCAGCCTCCATGATGCTTGTTGTCCTTTGCATCAAGGACAAAATGAATAAAGCGCCTGAAGAATATTATAGACGGTTTAGAGCCGCCTTTTTTCAGGGGCAAAACGCTCCTGGTTTGGAGGAAAACCACACTTTAAAATCTCTTTTTCTCCACAATCTTGACATGAGCATAAAGTATAAAGTCACCATGTTCTGCCAAACTAAAACCCTTTCCATGCAGGTGATCAGGAGGTATGCTCAGATAGCATGGGAGATGAGCATACGCCCATGCAAAAAGGGAAGAAGCTTCTGTCCTCCAGAGCCAAGTTTAAAACCGGGTCACAAAAAGAATAGGATCCAGGTCCACAAGGAAAGAGAGCTTTCCAGGATAGGAGGAGTTCACAGATTAGGGAAGAGAGAGGTTTCCAAACAAGGTACAGATGGTAGATGAGCTGAGACAATAGAAAGCCTGGCCAGAGGAAGCTTTTAGGAGTGAGTTTGATGGTAAAGATCAGAATGAGTAAACAGAACAGGCAGTGTTGTTGGCAAAATCGGTTCATCAGATCATGATGATGATTGTCCAGAGAGACCTGACCTGAAGCCCCCATCAGGAACACAATTAGGCATGGACTCATCCTCTACTTCCTTATTCCACTTATTGGAATGGAAGGTCGAACTTATAAAATCTCAGAATCCTCCCAGATACCATTGGGAAACGATTCCAACTTTTCAGAGAAAACCAAACTCCACTCAGAAAATCACATTTTCCAGGGAGTCAGCATCAGTTCCCAGGATGTAAGACCAGGAAAAGAGTCTTATTTAGAATGTAGAGCAGCACCTGGCCTTCTCAGGTCAGATGTTGCCCATCACTCACCTGTGGAGGACCAGTGATGCTGCATAACCCTTCATGCATCCCAACAAGTCACCCATCAGTCTTCCCCATCATCTGACAGCGTTTTTCCCAGAACAACCCACCTCCTGTCAGCTCCACCCATCACCCTCATAGACCTAACCCCTCCTCAACAAAGGGGGGTTACATCCATATGTCTCCATTTACAGATGAACTGAATCGCACCAGTTCCAATAGCTAAAGAAGGCAATGAATATTTTGCATTTGCAACATTCTTCGCCACAGGACAGGTAGACAGAATTAAATGCAGCCACTTCTTTCTCAGGAACAGGGCGTGCCTGCGTTCCAAAAGGACAACCCGGTGCATAGAATCATTTAGATTAAGTGTATGTTAAACCCAGGAAAACATGCACTAATTCTTCAAGATTTCATTTTCTAAATACCAAATTTCTCAGATTATAACTGTTTTTTTCAGGATATTCACATTTTTCACATACCGTGTGCAATTACAGTGCACCATATCTCACAGAAGTGGCAAAATTGACATGATGTTCTCTAAAGTTGTCATAAATGTGTGCAGGAAAAAAATGGCTCAGCTGGAACCAGATTGCTGAAGGACTGAATCCTTTTAATCTGGTCTGTGTTGATTTGGTAAAAAGATATTAAATATGCCTTTAACTGATTCCTGCAACCACCACGGACACACTAGGCTCATAGCTAGGTAGTAATAAATCTTTGTAAATTCTGATAATCTAGAGATAAAATTCATGCCAACTCATCCCAATAATGAAAGAGCTAAAGATGGATAAGCATAGTTCAGCGTTAAATATTAGTTCTTACAAAATAAAACTAATATTTACTTAAAACCCCCCTATTATCAGCCGATCATAATGTGATTCCAAAATAATCTGGTTCCTAATTTAAAATTATGAACCAAAACTGAAAACATTCACAGAGTTTTCAGGGAATTCGTTTAGCAATAACATTGACATAGCTGGTTGAAATTTTGGATGGCTTTGAAAGAATCCAATTTCAGCATTAATGTCAGCATTAAAACAACATTAATTGCAGATACTCATGTTCATGCCGCAGAAACTGAATAAGCTCTGAACTGTCTTTTTTTGTTTTTTTTATTATACATTTGTTTTTATATGTTTTTGTTTGCATACTAACCCTCTTTTCTTTTTCTTACTCTTTGAATCAAATATGAGGAAAAATGATGACCAAGGAATGTAATGACAATGGTGAATGTATGTTGTTTACTTTTACCTGGGTTAAATATAAAAACAGCAGTCAGTCAAAGACACTTGATACATATTTCTTTGTTTTTGCTTATTTTCAGTAGTGTTTAGTCTTTGCTTAGTTATTAGATATAATATTGTGTGATTGTAGCTAATAAAGGTACTATAGCATTTTAACTCGCAGTCTTTTGTGTTTATTTTACACAGTGAATAATTTATCACTTAGGCTGGATTTTCTTTTTTAAGTAGCATTCGAATGAAAAGAGACACATTTCATTGGTTGGTGGTTAATAACGTTGCTAAGAGCCGTAGCCTAAATTGGTGAAAGACAACTGGATTTTAAAAGCCGCATTCAGAAGTCCGACCTCTTAGGTAAGAGGCTAAAATCCTGGTCAGTATGCAAATTACAGTTGTATTTAATTAAGGTTGTAGGGAAACGGCCGTTCCAACCGTTGCATTTCCGAATTCTACCTAGTGGTGCCCGACTTTATACGAGTTAATAAATTGAATGTGATTGGTCGTTTATCAAGAGGGCGGGATTGTTGTGGAGGGAGGTTGGCAAGCAAGTTTGGTTGTGTCCGGTTTGTTTGAAGCATCTTGCTAACCAGATAGCTATGGGGCCAAAATAACCGAAAATACTTCAGACATAAGTGTCTCTGTGTGTGCTTACAGATTGATCTACACATTTGCAAATCTTACTACAGATTTGTTAATCTTACTACAGATTTGTAGATTTGAATACAGATTTGTGGATTTTTTACACATTTGCAAACCGGATTACACACACAGGAGTTTTACACATTTGCAGATTTACAGACACACAAATCTCCGCACACATTTACAGTTTCATTTACACATTTTCAAATCCCACTGCACACACACAAATCGAGATACAGATACACAACTCTCCACACACATTTGCAAATAATAAACTAACAATTTTGGCCCCATAGTTAGCAACTTAGTGCTAGTAGGTTCACAATGGGAAATTACATTGGGACCAAGTAGCACTAAATTGGTGTCTTAGAAATGAAACTGTAAAGGAACGCTATGGACAGCGGAAACACGCACGAGGAGAGTTTTGTATCGGCGGTTG